GTTTGTCGTGTCTATGGCGACGGCTAGGTTAGCGGGTCAGATATTTAGCTTTAGCCTAACTTAGAGTGTGTTAGCCTCTTTCCAGCTGATCCTGCGTTAACCTGCTAACCTAGTTTCCTGCTAACACTATGTGCACTTAATCCAACTGCCCCTCTGATGGAACAGCTGTTAGCATGCTAGCTTCATTGTTAGCATTCCTGGTAGCTGCTGCTAGTCTGGTCCTCCTCTGTCTCTCTTTACACACAAGCCCCACCTCTTCACCTGTCCATGCCCACCTGTTTTTACCTGTGTTCACTCTAAGTCCCACTCTCACCGTCTCAATAAATCTCGTTAAATCACGCTGTCACAATTAGGATCCAGGTGCCCCGTGTGGCTCTTCGTCGCCGTCTGAGCGCGCTCAGTGGCGGTGTGTGTCGCCCTGCCCCTTGGCGCCGCCGGCCAATCTCCTTCCTCTGCTACGTGCTGTCTGTAAATGCTCTGCGGCCGCTGGCCAGTCGGGTAAGGATGGACTCAGTTTGTAAGCAGGACTTACAGACGGTCCAAGGTTTGGACGAACCTTCTCATTCAGTGGTTTTTATTCATTTTAATTGTTTTCTGCATCATACATGAATACTGAAGACATCAAACTATGAAAGACACCTGGAATTATGTTTAAACAATAAAGCGTGACACAAACCAGAATAAGTTTTATATTTTAGATTCATTAAGTCGCTCTGTTTTGCTCTGATGACAGCTTTGCACACTCTTGGCGCTCCGTCAGCTTCACGAGCTCGTCTCCTGGATGGTTTCCAACAGTCTTGAAGGACTTCCCAGAGGTGCTTGTCCTTCAACTCGTCCCAAACCATCTCTGTTGGGTTTAAGTGGGCTGATTGTGGAGGCCAGGTCATCTGAGCAGCCCTCACAGAGCCCGGAGGTGTGTTGGGAAACTGGTGATGGTCCCAGTAAACCAGATGGGATGGCCTGGCGCTGCAGAATGCTGTGGCAGCCATGCTGCTTCATGAGCCTTGACTTTTGTCATTTTTGTTTTTTTAAAGATTATTTTTCTGGCGGTTTTTTTTTTTTTTTTTTGCCTTTATTCGTTGGGACAGTGAGAGAGTGAGACAGGAAAGGGGGAGAAGAACAGGGACAGAGACCTGCAGCAAACTGTGGTGAGCGGGAATCGAACTCACGGCCGCTGCGTCGGGGAGCTACAGCCCCTTTCCGTGGGTCCCCCGCTCAACCAGGTGAACGATAGGGGCGCCCATGAGCCTTGACTTGTGGATAAATCACCAACAGTGTGAGCAGCAAAGCCCCCACACCATCACAGCTCCTCCTCCAGGCTTCACGGTGGAAACCACACATGCAGAAACTATCGCTCACCTTCTCTGGACTCACAAAGACACGGTGGCTGGAACCAAAGATCTCAGATTTGGACTCATCAGACCAAAGTCCAGACTTCCACTGGTCTAATGTCTGTTCCTTGTGTTTCTTGGCCCAAACAGTTCTCTTCTTCTTCTCTTCGTTCTTCCTCAGTAGTGGCTTCTTTGCAGCAGTTCCAACATGAAGGTCTGATTCATGCAGCCTCCTCTGAACAGCTGATGTTGAGATTCATCTGCTCCTTGAACTCTGTGAAGAATCTATGTGGCTGGTGACTCTAATGAACTGATCCTCTGCAGCAGAGCTAACTCCTGGGCTTCCTGTCCTGGGGCGGTCCTCATCAGAGCCAGGTTCCTTAGAGTGTGTGATGGTTTTTGTGACTACACTTATACTTTCAAAGTTCTTGAGACTTTCTGTATCGACTGATCTTCATGTCTTAAAGTGATGATGGACTGTGGTTCCTCTTCACTGAGTTGAGCTTCCTGCCTGACTGTGGACTACAGCAGCAGTAAACAGGGCTGTCCACTGTGGACAGCACCACTGATGGTCTCAGACACATGAAGAAGGTAAGTAACTCAACAAACTGACTCTTGACAAGGCACAGCTGTTAATTCAGAACCATCCAGGAGACGAGCTCATGAAGCCGACTGAGAACAGAGTGTATGAAGCTGTCATCAGAGCAAAACTTATTCTGGTTTGTTTCACACTTTGTTGTTTAAACATAATTGCAGGTGTCTTTCATAGTTTTGATGTCTTCAGTATTCATGTACGATGCAGGAAACAGTTCAAACAGACCTTTGACTGGTCTGTCAGCACACACCTCCTTTCCTTCAGTCTGTCCTGGCCTCCTGCTCTCCTGTTTTATCCAAGTATTAAATATAACCAGTAGTTTCTTTTCACTGCAGCAGGTGGCGCTGTGCTGCTCCTTCCTCCTCTTTATTAAACATGAAGGTGTACTTTCTGTTTGCTGCTGCAGGTGGCGCTGTACCGTTCCTTCCCAACCCGCCTCCTGTCCCGGGCCTGGGGCCGTCTGAACGGGGTGGAGCTCCCTACGTGGCTCAGGAAGCCCATCTACTCTCTGTACATCTGGACCTTTGGGGTCAACATGCAGGTAAGATACAGAACTGGGGTTGTTTGTTTGTTGTCATGTTGTTGTTTATTGTTGGGACCTTTGTCTGTCCATTAGGAGGCAGCGGTGGAGGATTTACATCATTACAGGAATCTGGGAGAGTTTTTCCGGCGACGCCTTAAACCTGCAGTCCGACCACTTTGTGCCTCCTCCTGCTTGGTAAGCCCCTCCCCCTCACTATAAGCTCCTCCTCCTCTGTAGAGGCAGTTGAAGCTGTAGTGCAGTAATGTTGAAGTAATGTGGGCTGAGGTCCTTGCTGCTGTATCATCTGAACGCTCAGAGATTATCAGATGGATGCTTTACATGAAACTGGTGTTGCTGGAAACATTAGTTTGTGGGGAAAGAGCTGGAGCAGAGCCAGAAGGGAGAATGTCGATGTCAGAAAGTTCCAGAAACAGCTGCTAAGAGGAGTCAAGGTAGAAGAATAGAAAAAACAGACAAGTGCTGAGAAGTATTCAGCTGAGACAGTCTCACAGTTGAATCCCATCCATCCATCATCTCGACACCTCCGCCGGACTCGGGCGTTATTTTGAAGACTTGGCTGTTTCAAGTTCATCTTAACAGACGTTCTGACACTCCACCTCCTCCTTGCAGGTTCTTTCAAAAAAAACTGAAGCCGCTCTGGTTGTTTTGTCACCAGGTGTCTCCAGCTGATGGGAGGATCCTCCACTTTGGACGGGTGAAGAACTCAGAGGTGGAGCAGGTGAAGGGGGTCACCTACAGTCTGGAGAACTTCCTGGGTCCACAGAAGAGGCAAGGCCAGGGTAAGACCATGCCTCCTTACATCTGGTGGACGTAAGGGGGCTGGGTTAGTCCTGACTGGTCAGCCCTGACAGCTGGGCTCTGATTGGTTTTGATTGGTTGGTTGTGGTCACTTGGCTCTGAGTGTTTGATCCTGACAGGTTTGTTGTGATTTGTTGGTTCTGGTTGGTTGGTTCTGACTGGTTCTGGATGCGTCTCTGTCCTCAGATTCATCCTCGTCTTTCAGGGACCTCCTCCTGTCGTCTCCTGACAGCGACCTGTTCCACGTCGTGGTCTACCTGGCTCCAGGTGACTACCACTGCTTCCATTCACCCACAGATTGGAGGGTTGAGCTTCGCCGTCACTTCCCAGGTGAGTGTTCCCTCGTGCACCTGTGTGCTGTGTGCTGCCCACCTGGTCCTCACCTGTATGTCCTCATCAGGCTCGTTGATGTCGGTGAACCCAGGAGTGGCTCGTTGGGTCAAAGAGTTGTTCTGCCTTAACGAGCGTGTGGCGCTCACTGGCCAATGGCAGCACGGCTTCTTCTCGTTAACGGCGGTGGGAGCCACTAACGTCGGTTCCATCAGAGTTTACTTCGACCAGGTGACGTTCTGCTCTCACCTGTTTCTGATCACTTTGATCTGTCAGTTGGTCAGTTTTTGTGAGCTGTAAAGAATATTCTGAACTTCAGAAAGGGTTTTCTGTCGTCCATATTGTGAGTCATGAGGACTTTCTGCTTGAACTTCCTGTTTCGGACACTCTGGGCTGTATCCATGTGATTCTGGGTTTCACTCCTCCATTGTTTTCTTGACAGAATTTTTTGACACCACAATGTGATATTGTATATACAACCTGAGTGTTTTATTCTGTAATACCTCTGTCACATGACTGTTGTGTGGCTCAGCGGTGCTGTGGCGTGTCCGTCTGCTCGTTAGTTCATTACAAGAGCACAGTGTGATGATGTCATCAGGTTTTATTTCCATCCCCAGGAGCTGCAGACCAACGCTCCCCGCTACAGTAAAGGCTCCTTCCACGATCGCAGCTACGTCTCTGTCCACGAGGTGGCGCTGAGGGCGATAGATGAAGGGGGCATGGTCTCTGTGGATGGAGGAGGCGTGGCCTTACAGCGGGGGGAAGCACTGGGGGAGTTTAACCTCGGCTCCACCATTGTTCTGCTGTTTGAGGCTCCCAAAGACTTCAGCTTCAGCCTGCAGCCCGGCCAGCGAATCAGAGTGGGCGAAGGCCTCGGCAGACTCTGATTGGAAGAGCTGCAGACTCTGGGGGCGGGGCCTGATGAATGACGGGTTTTATTGGATTGTGGGCCATTTTGTCTGTGAACAGTTTGTATTTTATTACATGGACTTAAACTCCCAGAATGCCTTGGTCCTCACGAGGAGGAAGATGCCAAATTTCACTTCGGCTTCTGTTCTGTCTGAATGTCGCTCATCAAGGAGCTCAACCCAACAGAGAACGTGTTCCTTTAAAACCACAGAAACATATTTTATTAAACAGAGTAAATTTTCATTTTTCATGAAAATCAAAGATTCACAGTAAAAACTTGTCCGTCCATCATTCGACAATTTGAATGCCTAAAACTTTATTGTTCACTGTTTTTTGTTGTTTCTGTCCTCAGTCAGAGCTGTTAGCTGTTAGCATTAGCATGCTCACCATTTCAAGCAATTCAGCTGGAGGCGTGTGATTAATCAAACAGAGATATTAGTTTATTTTTAACCTGTGGTTTGTTTACACCTGCACCGCTTTCTCTGTTCACGTTTGTAAAATAACTGACTATGAATAAAAGTGTAACTTGTATAATAATGACCATGATTTCTTCCTGTTTGGAGGTGTGTGTGTTGCTGCAGGTGTTAAAGCGCCCCCTGTGTGCTGACCTGGAAACAGCCTCACTTGAAGTTGTTGATTCCCTGAGTATTGTCTGTAAGGCTGCAGCAAGTGCTGCTGTCAGGACAAACTCAGGGATCAGACGTCCCTTAGCTTCCTCCAACACAAACAGAACATGAGCAAGTTCAGTCTGTATTATCTTCTGCTCAGCTTTTGGTTTTAATAGAATTTAATTATTTTTCTAGTTTTCAAATTGAATAACAACTCGGCTTCATGTTTCTTTAAATACAACATGAAGGGAGTACACGCAGGCCCGTTCTGGTCCCGCCCATCAGCGTTATCCTCGACCTGGGCAGCAGAACCAGCAGCACAGCCAATAGGATGGCGGCGGGCAGCAGTTGCCATAGCGATGGAAGCGCGGCTCGGCCAGACCTCCGTGTGACCAGCCATCATCTGCAACCTCCTTCCCCAGCCACAGCTTCCCATCCTGGGCCGGATCTCCAGCCGGCGCCCCCTCCCTCCAGGAGGAGGAGCCGCAGGCCTGCTGGGCCTTCACCCCCAAGAAGGACGGCAGGTCCAGGTCCAGACCAGCGGCACCGCCGCGGGGCCGAGGCGTGTTCTGCCGACACTGAGGACACGGGATCCACACCTGGGGAGGCAGAGTGTCCGATTAGTACCTAATGACTGTCATCACTGTCGTCGCTTTCATGCCGCGGGGTCATTCCGTGTCAACTCAACGAGGTTAAGGGAGGTCAGTGTCCGGACCACCTCAGAATCTCCTGAAACTTTGTAGGAATGATCTTTGGCATCTGAAACTGACATCGGTCATTTTTTTTAGCTGAAACTCCAACAACTTTATCATTTTTTGCCTAATGCAAATTTTGGATAAATCTCTCTCGACGGGTAGAAGTCCATTTCTTTTAAAGTTGGACAGAATGCAGAAAATTCTGACAAATAAGACTCAATTTTCTACTTAAGACCTCTCAAATTCACCACTTGTTCAAAAATTGCAACTGAAGTGGAGTTTCCAAAAAAAAGATGAAAAATACGTGTCATACATCAGATCTATTGGATCAGTGTTACTGTGAGAATAAAACCTGAACGACATGACGAATGCTAAGACAGCCTTCATATGTTGGTAGAAATGGGAGTTCTGGCCAATCAAAGCTGACACAGGTACAAAAGTAATTCATTTCCAAACCGTCAGATGAACATCTTGAATCATGGGTAAGCTGCTGAAGTTTAGGACAGTAAGAGACGGAAGTGTCATCTACCGGTAGCCAAGTTTCAACATCCTTCCATAATGCCATGAAAGACTTTCACTTTTATGTCTTCATGCTCCTGATCAGTTCCAGACGCCAACCCTGGCCACCACTTCCCATTTAGCAGTAACAGTCAGGAGCAGAATGATTCTAACATGAATTCTGCTGTTTCCGTGGTTACTGCCAGCACACCTGACCTGGCTCAGCTGATGATGTCATCAGTCACCTGTTCGTTGATGACTGTGTCCAGTCTCTTCAGACACGCCTGGCAGAAGGCGTGGCCACAGTGCAATCTCCGTGGCAACCGCGTCATGAGGTCATAGCTGCCAAAACACACAATGCACACCAGGTCCTGCCTCCGCAATGACATCATCGTCTCCACGGCAATAGAGGAGGGGGGAGGTGGAAACGGCTGATTGGTCACTTCCTCTTCCTCCTCCTCTGCCTCTTCTTCCTCTCCTTTCTTTCTGTCGTCACACATTCTGCTCTGATTGGACAAGAAGAAAAGGTTCTGTTTTATCTCCAGTTTACTCAGATGATAATGGGACCAAACTGGGACCAGAATAAGACCAAACTGAGACAAGAATGGGACCAAACTGGGACCAGAATGGGACCCAACTGAGACCAGAATGGGACCAGATTGAGGCCAGACAAAGATTCCTGCAGTAGAACCTACTGGTGTTTGAAGGTTAAAGTTATTTTGAGCACTGCATTTAACTTGGATAATAAATTATCCATCCATCATCTCTACACCTTCATCCTCACCAGGGTCATGGGGGGTGGAGTCTATCCCAGCTGACTCA